CCCCCGCCCCTCCGCCGCCCCTGCCCGCGCAGTCCGTGTCCCGCTCGTCTCGGCGCTCTGCGGCGGCGACGCGTCCGCATCCGTCGAGACCCTGGACGGCCGCACGCTGAAGTTCCCGCTGCCGGCCATGACGAGCTTCACGGTGAAGAAGATAATTCAGGGGGAGGGCATGCCCATCAGCAAGCAGCCCGGCAAGAAGGGCAACCTCGTGGTGTCGATAGAGGCCGCCTTCCCCAAGGGCCTCACGGCCGCGCAGAAGGCCGCTCTCAAGCAGGCGCTGCCGGCGACCGCGTGACGGCCTGTGCAGTTGATTCGGCGTCGGCGTCGTGGAGAATGTTTCATAGCTAGGCAGATATTCCATTTTGTTGTCGCAAGACCCCGCCAAGCGAGCTCCTTGGCTTTGAGCGGTCGGCGGGGTCTGCGTGCGGCCTGAGCAGCCGAGGTTTCCTTGGGTGTTTGTGTGGTGATGGCGTGCGTGCCATAGCCCTGGCTTTTTCTTCAGTCCTGTGTAGCGCCCTGGTTTTTATACCACCACCGTTGGCGGGCACAGCAGTTGCGGTGGGTCTGCCCGCAGTGAGCCTCAGCACCGCGTCCGGCAGTGCGGCCGGCCCTGCCTGCGCGTGTGGCCCCAGCGCTGACCCACGTGGCCTTCGATTTGTGCCCGTGGCGCCGCAATGGCCCAGCAGGACATTCTCTGGGCCGCGGCCGGCCATCTCCGCGGCGTTGCTGCGTTTTTCTCGGCGTTTGCATCTTAGTTTTCTACATAATCCCCTTGAGCAGCGGCCTGCATTGCATGACATCTTGTCTTGCTGTTATGCCTAGCACACCACCATTATCATGCTAGTAGGGCCAGTGCCCGTGGCAGAAGTTGTAACATTCGCCGTACTGTACTGTCGCGCCAGTATTTCTGCCTCTCCCCACATGCACAAGCAGAAGCTTGCCAGTGCACCTGGACAGGGCAGCGCCTGCAGCTGTCATGAAGTGCCGCGCTCGAACTGGCTGCGGACCAACATCTCCAAGCGCAGCAGCATGTCAAGTGCCAATGCCACTCTCGCCGGGCTGATGTTTACAACAGGGCGAGCAGCTCTCAGGGCTCACCACCCCACATGTCAACGTGAACCCAACACTCGCCGCCGCCCCTCCCAAAAGATATTGCAAGCACAGCCCACCAGCCTGCCCCAACGTCCCAAGCGGAAGTCAAACGCACGGCCCGCCCAGCCTGGCCGAGAAGTCGGCCACAAGGTGCAACCCACAAAATCGATTGCGATTCTGATGCTGCTGCTGCTGCTGCTGCTGCTGCTGCGGCATCCCGCTGCAACATCGTGGCGCTCCCTCTGCCTGAAACTGCGACAGCGGCAGACAGCCACCTCACCAGGGCCAAGGCTGGGTGCGACGCGCTGCAGATGTTCCAAGGCGAGTCAAACCCGCACTGCGCTGCCGCGCAGGGCGTCGATGCTGCAACAAGCGGCTTTTGAAGTGCGGAAGCAGACCCTTCCTGGCTCAGCAGTGCGTGGGTTTCAATGACACAATGAGGGCATGACGGAGGGTAGGTGGGGCAGTGACGAGTGCAGCGGCGCCCACCACTTGGGGAAGCGCGTGCGTGGGCCGACGCAATTTGCCATGCAGGGCCGCGCATGCGGCGCCACAAGGCTGCCGCAGCGGCCCGCGCGCGAAGCGCCGCCAGGCCGCCGCAGCCGAGGGTGCCCGGGAACGGCCCCTGGCGGCCCGCAGTGGAGGAGGCAGTGAAGAGGCTGCAGGCATCCTCCGCCCCACTTGCCGCCCAGCCGGGCCAGGTTTCACATGGTGGGGCGGGGGGAACGTTGCAGACTACCATCGTGGGGGGCCGCCCCCACCCGCCCCTTAGTGATTGGCAAGGATGCGTGACAAGAAATCAAGGCTGTGCGCTGTTCCACTCAGCTCAGGCGCTCGCCCCATGTGCGCAGGACGACAGAGGGCACGTTGGACGTTGCAGCAGGGACCACTGGCGCCTCGGCCGACGACGCGCCAGAAAGCACGCCCGAGCCGGCCGGCGCAGCCGGCGCGACGGGCGCCGCGGGGGGCGCAGGGGGCGCCGCTGCCGCCTCGGGGGCTGGCGCTGCAGCTGCGAACGACTCCAAGGCGGGCGCAGGCGCCGCTGCGGGGGCAGGCGCCGAGGAAGCAGGCAATACAGCTGCAGGGGCCAGCGGCGGCGCGTACGCCGCAGGGGCTGGCGCCTGCGCCGGGGCCTGCGCAGCAGCCACGGCAGCCTGCGCCTGCGCTGCTGCGGCAGCTTGCGCTTGAGCCTGAGCGCGCGCCTGAGCCTCCGCCTGCGCCTGCGCCTCCGCCTGAGCCTGTGCTGCTGCGGCAGCAGCTTGGGCCTGCGCCTGTGCCTGCGCTGCTGCGGCCGCCTCCGCCTGAGCCTGCGCCGCTGCAGCAGCCTGCGCCTGCGCCTGAGCCTGCGCCTGTGCCTGTGCCTGAGCCTGCGCCTGAGCCTGCGCCTGCGCCTGAGCCTGCGCCTGAGCCTGGGCAGCTGCAGCCTGCGCCTGCGCCTGCGCTGCTGCAGCCTGCGCCTGCGCCTGGGCCTGCGCTGCTGCAGCCTGAGCCTGCGCCTGCGCCTGGGCCTGCGCCGCTGCAGCAGCCTGAGCTTGAGCCTGCGCCTGCGCCTGAGCCTGCGCCTGCGCCTGAGCCTGCGCCACTGCAGCAGCCTGCGCCTGCGCCTGCGCTTCTGCAAGCGCCTGCGTTTGCGCCTGCAGCTGCGCCTGAGCCGCCGCCAGCGCCTCCGCCTGTGCCTGCAGCTGCGCCTGCACGTGCTGGTGCGCATATGCGTAGGCGTAAGGGTTCACAGGTATCCGCACGGCCGGCGCCGCAGGCTCTGGCGCTGGGGGCGGAGCAACCGGGGCCGGCGGCGGCACGGGCGCTGGGGGCTGCGCGACGGGGGCGGGCGGCGGCACGGGCGCCGGGGGCACGTACGCCACGGGCGCAGGGGCCGGCGGCGGCGGCGCTGCTGCCGCCACAGGGGCCGGAGGCGGCGGCGGTGCGTACGCCGCGGGCGCGGGCGCCGGCGGC